TATTATTTTTTTTCTTGCCATCAAATTTATACATAGTTTGGAGACATCATTTTAATGTCTTCTCAAGCCTATATCACAGACATACATATTTATCTAAATTAAAGGAATTAGATAGAAGTAAATAGATTTGTTAATATCTTATGGAGTAGCTTTTTAGAAGCTTCATAGATACATTTTGACTTCATATGTGTTTTAGGTGATTACTAGGTTGAAAACTTAGCCAATAAATTAACTACATGTTACACATGTTAACCACTTATGGTAGAAGTTAGCCATTAGGCACACATGTGAAACTTGTCTTGCATATTAGACACATATATTATAAGTTGGACATATGCCAAAGGTCCAATAAAATATTGCTACATAGCTTTTAGATAGATAGTATATATAAAGGTAAAAATAAAGCCTTTTTTTCACTCATGTCAATGTTTTTTTAGTCCTTTGTCTTGTCTTAAGATTCTCACGTTTTCTTATCTTTGATAATAGCCATATTAGTTTAATATTATACCATATGTGAATGATTATCTATTCTTCTTTAATAACACAAGAATATATTAAACTTTAGATTCTTTATGATTCATGTATTTAATAGCCTTAATATCAAATAATCTTGTTTGTTTGTTATTTTTATTTTTATTTTTTTTAAATAATAAAATATATTTATTAAAATTTTTGATGAAAAAATATTAAGAAATCTTGACTTTAATAATCCACCATTGTCTCAAGAATTAATAAATTCTAATCAATTTACTTTCTAATCTTCTTAAACATCTAAGTAATCAAGTTCAATTTCTACCATTAATTCATACTTATAATAATAATTCTTTCATAAAATGTATGCCTAATTTTTTTAATTCTTAATTAATTTTTTATTTTATTTTATTTTATTAAAATTTATCTATTTATAAAAATTTATCTAAATATAAATTATTATTAAAAAATATTTTTATCTATAAATAAATTATCATCCAAGCTTAACATTCATTTATGTCCAAACTTCATCTTTCATTCAAATGTTCATTGAATTCATTAATTTTCATTTAAAACTAAAGTCATTTATTTTAATCTAATTTTTCTTCTAATCTAATTTCTTCCAACCTCACCATAATTCAACCTAATGCAAAATCATCTACTTAGAAGAATCTCACCCAAGCTGAAAAAAGCCAAAAGAATTTGTTGTTGGTTGACTTGTGAACCACTTCTGATTCACCACAAGCTACCTAGTTGATGGCTTCCAATCTTTTTCTATGCCTTCACATAGCCTTCGGTAGCTTCTAATGAATATAACTACTATTTCTACAACCTAACTATGCCACGGCCTATTATATCAATTGCCTTACTAATCAACATCTCGATAGTAGTTATAATTGACCCTTTAGAGGTGATCCATTGCAATGAGTAAGATCTTATGTAACTTATAATAGGAGAAGCATGGCTTATTATTTTACTCAATATTGATTGTTTTACTACAATTTCAAGAGGTGAATTATCTTTTTAAATTAGTGTTGCTCTATTCTTGATCTAACTTAACTTTCAGCGAAAATATTATATTTTATTTTGCTCTAGCACAGTTAAGCAAGCACCTTCAACTTGGTCACAATAAAGAAGTCACAATTATTCATTGCTGATAAAGTTGCAATTATGACAAAATTGAGATGCAAGTACTAAGAATAGTATTGCAAAGAATCACTATTGCATGCCACTATTAGTCTTTGTTTAAACAAAAATAATTTAAATAGGATTAAGTTGGAGAACGATTGCTCAGCCAATGACCTTTGCTCTTTGTTGATGTCTTGAGAACCAAAAAAAACTATGTTGCACATCACATCTAAGACCAACATTGTTTCTTTGCAATACTACTCCAGCTTTAGACTCTCCAACAACTTTGCCTTGATTCATTGAGCTACTAATAGAAACAAAAAGAGAAAAAAAAATTAAAAAGTATTGTTGCAATCTTTTGCAATGTGTTCTAATACAACAATTGTAAAGCTCAAACCTTCTCTACATATACATACAAGTTTTAAACTCTTTGTGAAAAACTTGGATCTCAGCTAATGTCAATAGAATGCAACTCCAACCTTGCAATAACACCACTCTAAAATTGTGTAGTCTTTTGCAAGCAAGAAGTTGATAGCAACAACTCTAGATTATTGTGGATCCCTCTTTAATGGAGTTCTTTTGTTGAATAAAAAAAAATCCTTAACAATCCATTGTATTGTGTTGGTTGCATCAAATTAGTCACTTATCTTTGATCAATTGCAAAAATCGCAAGTGGACTAACCTTCATAACTGGAAACTAAAGAGGGACAATTGACGTCAACTAGATTCCACATCTATCACCTCAATGCTTGACAATTAAGCAAAAAGGTGCTCCTACTCTATTAATCCATAATATTAGTATTAAATAAATAAAAATAAATAACACTAGTAATTCTTTGGCTTGAGGAAGACATCAACAAGAACTTAATTATATAGCTTCACCACCATAATCCTACAGAATAATGACCAACATCCATATTATTATTACTAAAAAATGAAAAATAGAAAAGAATGTCATGATTCTCTGAGATATTGTACTAATTGTAGTGATATGATCTTTTGAAATATCTTCTAGATATGCAACTTAGACCTCCATACTTTATATTGATTATATAGAAAAAAAATAAGATGCCATACTATAACAATCTAATAAGACAAAGAAAAAAGAATGTTGCTACTTACACATGCAAAATAACATCCAAAGAGAATTCTATTGCAATTGAAGTCTAGAATTTTTTTCTATCTTAAATAAAATAAAAATAAAATAAATAAAAAAAACAAGGTTTGAGGTGGTTCAATCCCTTATCAACAAAGATGCTCTTACTATTCAAAGGCAACCTCTTGTCTTTTTGATTGCCTTTCTATTTTTTTTCTTCTTTCTTTTCTCTCTCTACTCTCAACTTATTTTTTCTTCTATTTTGATATTTTTCTTCCATTTTATTTGTTTAAACTATCAATATATATATATATATATATTTGAATTATTTTGAATCACGGATCTTATTTGAATTCTAGTCCAATTAAATATTTAATGAGGATAAAACTACCATTAAAAAATCATAAATTTTTATTGGCTAATCTAAAGAGAAGATATGTAATTTAAAATCCTTTCTTAAGAACAACTCTACAAAAGATCCATTCTTACAATCAATATTTTATTTTACTTAATTTTTAATTTTTCTATTTATATCAAAATTTCTATATTATTTTACTAAATTAGTGATTTTAAATACCATAAGTATATTTTTTGTACTAAAACATATTAGTGAGTCAATTCTGTGACTTACATATGGCAACCATCTTTGACAACTTAAAGAAGAAAAAATCCAAATACTCTTACTACTTGACAAGTTCTTATCTAAATTTAGATATTTTAGTTTTAATATTCTATTAAGACTAGAAGAAGTAGTACTAAAGAGCCAAAGTAAAATAATTATATAAAAAATAGTGATTAATAGTTTCATGCATACTATTTTTATACTCTTTCTCTTGAAATAAAAAAGTTATTGAAGAAAATAGTTTATTTACTAAAGCAAGGTGAAATAAATCTATAAAATAAGAAAAGAGACAAAATAAGAGAGGAAGAATAATAAGAAAGAGAATAAAAATAAAATACTTGGAAGTAAAAAATCTAAAAGTTAGTACTACGTAATTCTCCTCTAATGAGAGGAATTTAAATAAAAAGCCTTAGAAGCCTACAAATCCTCTAGGTTGGGCAAGTTGGCCACTTTCCTACTCTATCAGTGGCTCATATGAATAGTTGCCTACGTGGACCAGATTTGAACCTAGATCACGTTTTACATAACCACTTTTGTGGCCTATTGCCCAACAACCCAAATATGCTAAATCTAATTCCTTATTGTATTGTATTATATTTTGTTTTAAAATAAGATTTATTATATCGTAATAAATAAAAGAAATAATATTGTAATAGAACTAAAAACCATATAGAGAATTTTTCTTGCCTCTTGATGAGTGAAGATCCCTATTTTCTTAATAAAAATCAAGTTTGGCTAAATTGTTTAGCTAGATTCCTATTCCATTCAAGTAACAAGAGAATATAGTATTTTTTTAGTTATGAGATGATTATTTCATACTTTATATTCTTTATATTTATCTTTAGATGTTTTAATTGGAAATACTTCACCATTTAATGTCTCTAATTGCAAAGAGTTGTTATCAAAAACTTTTCAAATATAATAAGGACTTAACCAAAGAGCATCAAATTTTCTAAAAAAATCCATTTTCTTGGCATCTTATAATAATACTAGTATTCTTGATTAGAAGACTTTCTTCTTATATTTTTTTATTAAAAGATTTTTTTTTTTTTTTAATTTCTTCTATATATTAAACTCCAATCCTTTAAATTGCATCAAGGCCTTCCAATTGTTCTAATCTATTCTTAAAGGATTCTTGAATAGTTAATATATCATCTATTCCTATTTTGAGACAATTAACTTCAAATTCTATTGATAATACAGCTTCTACTCCATATACTAAGGAAAGTAGAGTGACCTTGTAGGTTGTACAATATTGTATTAAAAATTAGTATTATATATAAAAATAATATAAAATATTATAAAAGTTTGAATTATAAAAAAATAAAAATAAAAATAAAATAAAATATTTTTTTAATTTGTTTGAGTTTGTAGTTTAATTTTTGTAATTAAAGATAAAAATTGTAGGATTTATTGGTGAAGAGTTTAGAGAGGCTTTAATATTAAGGATATAATATTTTGACTTTTAGACCATCTTATAAGGAAAGATAAGGCAGATTGATGGAAAACTTTATTTCTATTGATTAAAGGCATCAGAGATATGAATCTTGTAGAAAGAAATCTTCATTGTATTCTTGTGTCATTCAAAAAGACTAAAAAATCACTTAAAAATGTATGAAAGATGATGATGGCTAGACAAAAAGACTAGAAAGTCTTGAAATAAGATTAAAGATTAGAAAGGCATTGACAAGAGTGAAGAAAGCTTTATTCTTGCCTCAATATATATTCTCTAAATAGGAGTTACATGGCGATATGCTAGAGGACCTCCAATGCATATTGGCTTTGCAAGACATGTCTTAACTTGCAAGGTAAGTTGTCTATATGTATGCCACATAATTAGCTTGTTCTACAAGCTATCAATATGTGTGATACATGATTAACTTGTTGATCAAATTTTTAACTTATCAATCAACTAAAAATACATATAAAGTCAAAATTGCATCTATCAAGCTTCTAAAAATCTTTTCTAAAAGTTACTATGAAATTGATCTATGTTTATCTACTTCTACCTAATTATACATATAATTATTTGAGTAAATATGTATATTAGTGACATTACCTCCCTTCTAAAAATAAGTTTTACAAAGAGTGGTCATCATCTTTTATACATCTTATTTTTTTCATCTTGGTTTCAATGAATGTTGATAAAAAGCCTCAACCTTTTTTGTTGCATTTGCAAGATTTTTTGTTGACTTTCATGTGTATTAGCAGTTCCAGGGTCGATGCTTCCTGTGATCTTTTAAACTGTACTCCAATTCTTGTGTCTTATAATTTCAAGAAATAGATGTGTCCGATGCCAATCAACCATGCTTTTTCTCTCCTTCCGCTGACTTGTTTCCGAATGCTGATCTTGCTTAAAAAAATGGTAAACCTTGATCTTGTGCTCCTGGAATTTAACATCAATCTTCTTCTTGTTAGTGATCTGCTTCGGCTGGAGAGGGTGATGGTGAGACGTGATTCAATCTAGGGGAAGGAATTGTGGGTTCTCGAGTGTACAAGTCTGAATTGGCATCAAATCGATTAAGCCTTGTTCAAACTGGGGAATCGGTAGCCAACGAAAACAACTCACATGCCGTCTTGAAGAATCGTTCTTGCAAAATCAATGTCCTAGTGCCATGAAATTGTGCAAGATGAATCTCGCATCTTTTGATACGAACTAGTTGAAGAACTCCTTTGCTGATTTAAGTAGTGGAAGCAACCTGTGAAGTCATCGATCTTCTCTTCTTGAGTACGGTAAGAATTCAGTTGAGAGAGTTCGCTTGCACCGCCAATGTGCAGGTCAAGTCAAGGAAAACATGGTGTCTCTCTACCTGGACCGCGCCGCCTAATTTCACCCGTCCGACGACACCAAGGGAGGAATAGAATATGAATCGTGCCATTATTATCTCGTCGCACCACCCGAATACATTGATCGACTTGCACAGAATTCCTCGGCGTTACTACACCAACCAAGATAGGACTAAGAGCAAAGATCCAAGGCAAAGAAAACCAGAGCGGCCACCAAGGTAAATCCTGGCTGCCGCAATTAAGAGAAGCTATCGTTGATCTACCAATGGAAAGAAACGCAACCAAGAATACCAGCATCGCAGCTTTGACTTCCCGATACGATTAGTTGGAGATGTATCACTCCCACCACACGAAGCTGCGCCTCCAGTGCCAACGTCTGTGTGCCGACAACACCAAACCTTGATGCTCCACAATGATTATAAGAAAGAAATGCTGCTCCGCAGCTCCTCAATGGGATGGAGATCTTCCGCAGCCACACACATGTCGAAAAATACAGACCACCTATTGCGGATTGCTCCAGTAGCACACACCCAGAAAAAAAAGGAAAAAAAAAAAGAAGAGAGAAGCACCGCTGAGTTGAATTTGCAACACCATCGCAACGCCCAGCTTGAGAGCACCAACGCCCAAACAAAACGGGGACCAGCTGCAACAGACCTTAATCTCCGGAGCTTCGAACAGAACACGACACGGCTACAAGAGCAATTCCGCTCCCCACAGCCGATGATAACTATGAAGCCAGAAGGACAACAGAAATCCTCAAACCGCAACAAGCCGGAAGGGGTGGAGCTCTATTCGAATACACAGCAAAAACAAAATAGAAAAAAACAGATCCAAAAGTGCTGCCCGCCGCACTCCCACGATACGAAGGAAATAGAAGAAAAAACGGTTCCTAAGGGCCCGGATCTAGTGGAAAAAAAACCAAAAAAACCAAAAACAGAAGAAAAAGAGAGTGGATCTGGGGCGGCGCAGATCCCTATCAGCCCAGATCCCTATCAGCATAGAGGCTGCTGGAATTCGGAGGCAGCCTCGTGCCCTCCAATCCATCTTTTCCTTTCTTTTTCTTTTCTCCTTTTCTTTTCTGTTTTTTTTCTTCTCCTTCCTCTATTTTTTTATTTTTTTATTTTTTTTTACGTTTTCTTCTAATTTTTTTTTGAATTGACCACTTCAAGGTCATCTTTCCCTCCTAATCCAATTAACTTTTAATAGAATAAATCTACTATAAAAGACATTATAAATCTTTATCGGCTCAATTAAAAAAGGAATTACTTATTTTAAAATTCTTCCTTCAGAAATCCTACCAGGCACCTAGTTTTGTATTTAAAAATCCTATTTTTTGCTATTTACTTCAAAATCCCTATAGTAACTCACTAGATTGATGATTTTGAGCACTATAAGTACCTTTTTTGGTAGTAAACACACAAGTAAGTTAATTAAATGACTCACACCTATTTCTTTTTCTTGCTATGTATTTTCATCTTCTCTTTTATCTTTTTTCCTTGCCAAAGCTTCACATGCTTCCTTTCCCTATTATGTTGACTTTTCTTAATTGACATGGTTGAGGTAGCTCTTTCATTTCCTTTATTGTGTATATTTATAGAATTCATGTTCCACTCCTTTTTACTTGGCCATTCTTCATCTTCCAAAACTTCCATTTGAAATGGATTGGAATTCAATTTATAAGGGTCTCCACTTTGGTTCAGTTTTTACTTACTAATGTCTTCACTTGTTGAGTAGCAAGATGAAGATGTAATGGTCTTTCTTCCTAATTGTTTCCTTTCTTCATTGCTTAGTCCACCTGACTTTCATTGAGCAAACTGAACTTGCATGTCTCCATTTTCAATTCTTACTTTGATAATTGGTGTCTCTACAAACCTAATAGTTGGCTTCTAAACTAGCAGTTGATGACAAACAAGTGTCATATGCCCTAGTTGATTATAATTTTTGCACAAAAATATATATCTGACTTCTTGTCTAGCTTCCATGAAATTAATCAAGTAGTAATTCTTCTTACAATAATGGTAGCAAATTATTTTTCTTACTCTAGTATCTAGAATTTTTACTCTCTATGGCTTGCCTCCAATTTGACACTATTGAGGTCTATTTCTTCCTAAATACTCCATCGCGTAATAATGTGGTGCAAAAAATTTGGAAAAATTTGAATTTCTTCCTTCTTGTTGAATTTGATAAATTATACCCTCTTTCTCATCATTGATTTTTGACTTATACATTTTTTATTCTTCCTTCATATTTCTTCTTTATTTGAATCTAAGTCACTTGATGTAAAAAGAAGATTCCTTATTTGAACTCTGAGATATATGCTTCTTCTTTTTCTTGGACTTCTATTTCTCAACGTGTTGAGCTACTTCACAGGCCTCTGCAGTAGCAATAACTTGGTTAATACTAACTTGGTTAATACTAACTTGATTAATACTAGGAATAACTTGATTAATACTAGTAATAACTTGATTAATACTAACTTGGTTAATACTAACTTGGTTAATACTAGCAATAACTTGGTTAATACTAACTTGGTTAATACTAGGAATAACTTGGTTAATACTAACTTGATTAATACTAGCAATAACTTGGTTAATACTAACTTGGTTAATACTAGCAATAACTTGGTTAATACTAACTTGGTTAATACTAGCAATAACTTGGTTAATACTAACTTGGTTAATACTAGCAATAACTTGGTTAATACTAACTTGGTTAATACTAACTTGGTTAATACTAACTTGGTTAATACTAGCAATAACTTGGTTAATACTTAACTCAGAAGTTATAAATATAATGGTCTTCTCACTTGTACCAAAACTTCCTGTAATATTTTCTATTTTTTTTATTATTATTATATTAAAAGATTCATGTACAAATTTCTTTCTATCTTATAAATTATAAAGTTTCTTTCCTATACTTATACAATTATGCTTATGAACTTATGGTAGACTTTATTGCCGAGTTCCATACAATTCACAGTACTTTTTTGAAAGATATCTCTAACATTCAAGTAGCTCCTTTCTTGGCCAAAACCTATGTACATAGGCTAGCTGTACAATGACTGACTTGAATTTCTTTAGATCTCTTAGTAATTCCTTATCTATACAAGATTTGAATAATAAACCATTTCGTTCAAGATATCATCTCTGCTACAAACGACACTTCCTCCACTACAATTTCCTCGTCACGCTTTTCGACAAGTGATGTCATGAAGTCATTGCTGCTCAACTTCTAATAATTTGCAAAAATACTTCACATCTACCTCTTCACAGCTCCAAGCACAATTAGTAATGATTGTCACTCGCTACTTTCTACATTCCAATGATATCTCTTTTTACACGAATGATTTTAATATGCTACTCCTTGGCACTAGTGCCAAAAATAGATAGGTCTATATATGTAATAAACCTCTTAATAAGTATTTATTCTGATTTTTTGTAATACTTATAAATTTGTTGCTAGAGAATAGCAAAAAAACTTATTTGTGTGTAAAAACCCTTGCAAAAATCCTTGAAAATATACAAAATATCAAAATTTGAACCAAAATCTCTCTCTAATCATAATTAATTCAAATTTGCTCATATGTCATTAGAATAAATTAATGAAATATATCTTTAATTTATTTCCACCTTAACTATTTAGACTACTTATTTATCCTTGAAGCTAGGGTATGTGTTTTCTACTATAGTGGCCCGTTACCACATCCATTGAATTTGTCCTTAGTCCCCCATGTTTATAATACAATGGTAGTTTTAGCTTCCAAAATCCCAAATCATCTAAATTCTAATCATATAATCACAATTAGTCTATGTTCTTCTCTACTATATTCAACCTTAAGTAGATTAATGAGCCTGTACAGATCTAGTTTTCTCCAATTATTACTTGAGATACTAATTCAGCACTTACTTGAAACGGATAGATGTGTCTATATATGTTAGCTCTATCTCCTTCAAATATTTATTTTTCAAAGGAGTTGCATGTCAAAAGTCTGAAAACTTTGGCTAAGGGTACTAATGCTATAAGCCTAAATTTACTTTTTCTTAACTTAATGCCCATCTATTAATAATCACTACTTACTTGCTACTCAATATTCCATAATCAAGTAACTTTTTTTTGGAATCAGATGTCCTCTCCTATATCACTCAATGAATTTTTGTCCAAAATACTCATTTGAATAAAACACAATACTTATATATATATATAACACTTATTAAAAACTTATCTTTTTACTAAGTTGACACTTCAATCCAAGTTGGTTTACATGGAATGCATGAACTCATGCATTCATATGTATAAATTTCATATTGCTCTCTTCCAAAACTTCACACTTTGGGTCTTTTTTTGCACTTTGTCTCTCTTCTCTTCTCCTCGCTTTTTTTGAGGATATACAAGTCAAGGTTAGGAATTTCATAAGAATCTCTTCTTAAAAAGGGATCCACATAGCCTAAAATACTACCACCATAATATTTGGTTCAAAATACATAGCCCTAGCGATACCAACAATATCCAAAAATTCTACTGAAAATCAAAACACTAAAATTGAAATCACTCCAATTATTAACTCTCTAATTTAATGCATTCTAATTATCAAGCACTAAAAAAAATCACATATAGATGGATGGAGTTGTAACTCCCTCCTCTAACCTCCAAATCTTCTAAGGCCCAATTATTATGATTCTGCTCCTATTTAAAATCCATATGAAGAGTGTGGTAACTGTGTATTAATTCTTCCCTCTTTTATTCTTCCTTGACTTATGCTTCCTTAAAGAATTGAATTTGGGCCAAGAAAGCTATGGTAATTCCTTCTAACTTAACCAATGCATCATAAGCCTAGATTAATATGTCTTCTAACTTATGATATTCCAAGATAATTAAAAGTTATTTTTTCAACTTAATAATTGTAGGCAATGGAATATAAATCTTTTTGAGGCATAGTGAATCATTCTTCTTTTGATACCTTAATCTTCAATAGTAATATAGATGAGTAACTCTCCATTAGTGATTTATCTATATTCTCTAATTTTATTGATTCTAGAATTTTCATCTTTCTTCTTATACTTGAAGTAGAAAATAATAGTTTGTTTTGCATTGCTTTAATTTCTTTCTTCTATTTTGAATTTTTTCTAGAGTGTACTTGGCCAAGCTCCAAAAATGACTAAGCCTTTTTAGAACATGCAAGCTTCAAAAACCTTAGTTCCATCTTTGATTTTATTTCATTCCCTTCTTATTTAAGTTTTAGTTAATCTTACCTCTTATATAGGATCTTAATCACTTCGTAGGTACCTCATTCTTTTTATTTATACCTCAATATGTATATCTTCAATAATCAAAGTACTCCTAAAGAGGTCTTTATATAGGACTTTTATTTTTGTATCTACAAATAATTTCTAAAATTAAATCTCACTCACCACATTCTCTTCTCATTTTTGAACTCCACTTTTTAGAGTGTAAAATAAAAAAAATAAAAAAACTCCATCCACTTATTGATTTTTGTCCATAACTTGATCAGATCCTTCAACTTGCCAAGTAGATCTCACATACTTCCTTTGTTTTATAATCCTTAGGCCCTCAAAAATTACTATTCTATCTAAAACTTGTATCATTAGTTCTAAGGCTACTACATGGCTCCATTAATGTTGTGATGTAACATGGCTAATAGGTGAAAAAAATTTTAAAAAATATTATATTATAGAATATCTTATTTTAAAATATTATAAAAAATTATCTTAGATAATAGTCAAAGAGTGATAAAACTAAAAGTATTAATACTATCTTTTGCAAAGTAAGCTTCTATTTATTTTTTAGGGCCATAAATAAGATAAAACAAGATAGATTAGAAAAATAAAGAATATAGGCATATATATAAGAAAGTTAGAATTTTATTTTAGCAAAAATTATATCAAG